CCTACATTCGGTTACCCTTGAACGCATTTTGAGCTGCACTGGTTGCTGCTGTTGACGCGGCGTTGGCTGCAGCGGTCTGTACAGTTTTGTTGGACATCACTCCTGTCGCAAACTCCTGCTGCGCCTTCTCAAAACTAGCACCTGTTGTGCGGTACAGACCGTGCACCTGGCGGGGTGGAGAAGCAGTGACAGGAAACACTTTAATTTCTCTGGTTGGTACAGTTACAAGAACAAGCTAAGCTATGAATGAATATTAAGAAGCATAAAATATCCTAATAATACAGATATGTATCTGCGAGTGGGATGACCAATAGCTCTGCATAATATCTCGAGATATTAAACAATATGACTTACAAACTCTCTCAACAATATGGCATATAATCTCTAGTACAACAACAAAACAAACCTCCAGTAACTTCCAATTACTTGAGTATTAAAATTAAAACGCTATTTCTGGCTTATATTGAATCAAGTCACAATAAAGTTGCCAAGTAATAGTGCAAAGACATTTTCCTTCAAGTGTAGCAGGGGAATTAATGTTGTAAATTTTCCTTTGTTATACAAACGTGACTATTTCTCATCCATACAGATACACCAAGTCACATCTAAGTGTCCAGGTTTTTGAAAAGAATCCAGGAGCACACAGTAGGAAGAGCATAAAAAAATATACTCCATCATACTTTTTTCTTGCTTGCTTCTTTCTCCTGTATCTATTTATGCAGAAAACAATTAAGAAGGGACATCTCCAGACGATGCTTAAAATTTCTAGCTTACTGTAAATAGGCGAGAAGCGGTTGGGTACGTGAAAAATCTCTTAAGCATAACTGTAACTGAGGCTGAATGGTTAGAATTGCGAGTACATCGTCAGCAAAATTCTCAGTTACATTTTATTTAACAACATAAAAAAAAAACTTACTAGCACATTAGTATCTAAACTTAGGTCTTCTAGATGGAAATTCACAAAAAGGAACCAAGGGTAAAAACCATCTTTCTTTGAACTTTCATGCTATGCAGTCATTAATTGAAAATGAAACATTAAAATAACAGAAAAGGAGAAATAAAAATCCTTTTCTGAGGTGCCAGGGATCTTCCTCTTCTATTGATTTTAATGGGAATGATTTTGGTAAGAGCTGAAACTTAGGAATCTTTAGAATCACACTTCACTCAGCCTGATGAATTACCACAGATTTGAAAATTACAACCTGGCATCTATGAATACAATCATAGTGTCCAGTGCATCCATGTACCCTTTCATTGTGGGATTACCTCCCAATTTCTCTAATTCAGAGCTATCCTTCCCCATTTTAGTCTGCAGAAAATACATGCACTATACAAACAGCATTTCCTAACTCCACAACCGTGTAAGAAAATTATGAATAATATGTGACTTACCTTTTTAAACATAACTAATGAGATAACGGCAGATGCTGTGAAAAGTGCAGCTATGATTATCATCATAATGCCAACAGGAATACTCTTATTAAGACCAGTAAGAGATGAAATCCACCCACTGAAGGAAAAAGAAAGGACAAACTTTACTAGCACAGCACATGAACCCTTCAACCACAGGTATCCACATCAAGGGAAGTTTTATAACCTCCTGGTTCTGATCAGCTTTGTATATTTTTGAAGAAAAAGTCATGGGAATTTTACATAAGTGTATTGCAGTTCTATAATAAGCTTTTAGAGCTTAGTTTTCATTTTTTCCAATGCATATAGTGAAACTATATAGAAAGCGCAGTAAAGATTATTATCCTTGAGCAGAATTGTGATGAAATTAGAGAATTGCTCATCAACTTCTGGGGGTTTCTTGTCATACTGTCATTTGAAACTGATTTAAGACTACATGATTTTGTGAAAATGTCCCTAAAAAGATAGCTTCTAACTTTTTAATATATATTAAAAAACCATGCCACATACACACAGCTTATACGTGGGAAGACTCATTTAATTGTATCCATACAGAGATGCTTTCTCAATTGAGGTTAGTATGATAATTTTTGAAGTAGATAGCATCAGATGAACTAATAGAAAAGATTGCTATAATAGTATCTACATTTCACCATTCTTCAAAATTTAAACACCAACAGAAAAATACAATTATCAACCTTGAAACCACAAAAAGCAGCTGTCTTAATAAAAATAAAACATTAGATAGAAAAGATTCTTCCATAGAAAAAAAAGCAAAAAATTTCTGCAAATCCAAACAACCTTAAAACTTTCCTCTACGTGTTTCAAATTGCTTTGATATACCCTATGTCCAACTGGACTCTACCACAAAACTCTAAAATCCAAACTGTAATTAGCATTTTCTGATGGTCTGTCTATTTCTCATACCCCTTCCCCAAGTATCCTTAAGAAATACTCCACATACTCAGCCCTCTAAAATACTTTTCTATTTTGTTAATGTCAATCAATGTATCTAAGAAAAAGCAAAAGAGTGGATTAGAGCCAATAATAAAACAGGATCTTTCCTTACGCTACAATTCTACTGTCTGCCTTGTGTATATTTGGAGGTTATCAGCAAAAAGCACTGATACAGAGAAGTGTCATTACCCACCCATAGTACTGCCAGTCATAGCTCTCCACCCTACCAAGTGGCTACTACAACTATGCTTTTAGTTAATTCAAGTTTGTTGAATTAACAAGGACAGTGACTGATTCCCAACAGCTTTTCCTTGTAAAATCTAAATATTAGACCTCAAAGACTCAAATAAAATATAATAAAACACATAAAAGCTTCATGTAAATGCTTATATACTTACAAGCATCAAAAAGAAAAATCAGCTATTACAGAATAAGGAGTCGACTCAGACAAATGAGCTTTTCAAATAATATCAAAGATACACCACTATATTCACCTGAACATATTGTCGACTCATTCTTCAAATTTTAGCCATACACTTCCTTACTAAGTATACTAGTATAATTAGAAATAACAAATGAAACAATATGCAAACAGTATATTATTACTCTCTAAATTATTTTAATTTTCTCTTAAGTTTTGCTTATGTCTTTATCTTAAATATAAAGCAGATAACATCTCCATACACCACAAAAATAGAGAAGTTTATGTATAAAAGAATAGTTCAAAGTGGTTTATGTTGTTTACATAAAATTTTGAAGAGCCTAATAACAGAAGTACCTCACACTATTGGGATATGTTTCATGCACTTTTGCTAGTTAAGAGCGCTCCAAAAATGCTTTTTTTGAGTGCTAAAGGTAACAATTCCAGTGAATACAAACAAGTCTTTCGAAAAAACACACAGACCGTATTGCAGTTGCTATATGAAATATTAGTGTTTGTCTTACAGACAGTACAACAGTACAGGAAACAGAATACTCACCAGTTTCCCCATCTTTGAAATCCTGCAGCTTGAAGTACATGTACAGCAAACTGACAGATATATACAAAGAAGAATACAAAGAACCTGAATGAACTGTCACTCCTGAAAGAGGGGGAGGAAAAAAGGTTAAAGCAGACAGGAAATTAATGACTTTTTGCAAATACTGTAGTACCAATCTAAACAATTTTTCTGCATTAACTAGAGGAAAAGTGCTTTCATTTATTGACAGTGACTTGAAGTATCAGTAATTCTGTGGTTTTGTAGAGTGTTTATTTACAAGAGCTGCTCCTTCTTCTTTAATATAGTGGTTTTGCCACCTGCACCTCTAACAGAGGTAAGAATAGAAGCAAGATATTATTCTTTAGTGTTTTGTTCAGCACACAGCAGGACTTCTCAGATTAAACATAAAAGTTTTGCTACAATGCATGAAGAACAGAATTCTGCTCCACTTTCAGACTGAAGTTCAGCATGCTGGCAAGATGGGAAGAAAATATTTTACTTGTAAAAGGAAATAAAATCTAATACAGAATTACTGAAACATAGTGCAAACCAGAATATTGAAGCAGCTGTTGTTTAAAAGCAAAATATACAAAGTAAGTTTGCTGTTTAAATTACTAAAATGCCAGCCTGACAGTCTGAAAGTAAAAAAACTCACCAAATATAAATGCACAGGCAAAGTCTTAACAAAGACCCCAACTTACTACTATCAAAACTAATCATCATATGATATGCTTGCTACCAGAATTCTAAAAGTAGTAGAAATCACTTAGTTAAGTCACAAAACCAGTTTTTGCCATTAACAGCTCTTCCTGCAGAAGGGAGTTTGTTCACTTCTATTTATTCAATCAATTCCATTCAGTAACTACTTCATTTGCAGCTGAGCAAGTGACCCAAAGTTGAATATGCAAGTAGTAGTTTTCCTTTTCCAAACAATCAGTATTTACTAAGAAAAGCTATGGATTCACTAGAGAGCAAATGCAAGTTAAACTATATGATTCCTCAAAGATATATAGGTACAGCAATACCTCCTTGGTTAGCAAAAAGAAACATCTCATTTGGTGTAACACTGCTTAACTGCAATTTCTGGCCATCAAAGTTTCTCTACAAGAATTAGTGCATTTTAACTGAGAATATCATGAATCACTTCAATGTAAAAAAACCAACCAACCAAACAAGAAATACTGTAAGATTACAGGATTTAGAGTACTCTATATGCTGATTTTCACCAAAAGAAAAAGTTCAATTTTGCATGCAAACCAACCATTCTATTCTTAAACACAAAGCTACCACAACTCACACTTGTGAAGTGTCCCGGTTTGGTTTTAGGTTTTTTTGCTAGAATAGAGTTAATTTTCTTCTTAGTAGCTAGAAAGCATTGTGTTTTGGTTTCAGTGGGAATTCTTATGAGAAGAAATGTTCATAACACACAAGGACACTGTGCTTGCGTAGTTTGCAAGAGCAGAGGACTGGAAGGGGCCGGGGGGGGGAGGGGGAGAAAAGTGCAGCAGTTAGTGGAACCCAGAACTGACAGTTGGATGTGCCAATAAGATATTCCAGATCCTATTACATCATGTCCAGTACAGTAACTGGGGCTGACTGGAAAGGGGGGGATTCTCTCGGGAATTGCTCGGGCTCGCTTTTCCAGGATTGCGATTTCAGGTTCGGGGTTCCTTTTTGTTCCTCTGGGGTCGTTATCAGCAGGTGGTGAGCAACTGTACTCTGCATCACTCATATACAGTTGTTATAATTGTTTATTATTATTATTACTATCTTAATTCTATTTTACTCTAATTATTAAATTGTTCTTACTTCAACTTACAAGTCTCCTGACCTTTACCCCTCCAATTCTCTCCCTGATTCCCTGGGTGGGGGGCAGAAATGGTGGGGTTGCAAGTGGCTGTGTCTTGTTTGGCTGCCAGCCAAGTTAAACTATCACATGAAGTCTATGGAGATTGCTAAAAGCTAGGAAGAATACTAGAGTTTGATTACTATATACCTACTCTACTTATTCTACAGAATCTCAGCCTGTAGCTCTCTAATACTGTAGGTGACTTAACATTATAAGATTTTTAAGTGTAGAGTTTTATGAAGTTCATTTGGGAAGACAAAAATTTAAGAACTAACTATTAACCTACTCAAATTCTTGGTGTGAAGGGATAGAGATTTAATGAGAATTTTCCTTAAAATTGTTATCATCCCAATACAAAGTTAAATATTTCCTACAAATATTCTGTCAATGATAGAAGCAATAAATACTTTAAAGGATATTCCTAAGTAAAGGATATTCCATTATATTCCTAACTATTGTAATCTGTTTCTAATACAACAACTGAATTAATCGCTAACATACTAATTGTTTCTAATGAAAGCATATTAAAGGATTATCATGATGATAATCAAGTAAAATCTGGAATGTTAATGCATTTCTACAAGTTTTTAAATATCCTAAGTCAAGCTGAAGTTTTTACCTGAAAGCTCCATAAAGTGGTCTGTACCAGCAGACAAAAGAACAAGGGGTAAAAAGCAAGAACCAGAGAATACTCAATCCAAAATCAACCCCTCGCGTAGCATCAACGTAAAACCAGGCCAAACATCCAAAGATATTAAGAAACAGTGTCACTGTATGGACTGTAGAAGCAAAAGCAAAATAGTTTTAATTAAGTTATGTTTATACAATAAATTATTACAACTGTTAAAGTAACACCCAAACTGAGCATTTTTAAACAAAACATCAGTATGCTGACAATAAATCAGTACTCTCTCAATATCCGTAGCAATAAGCTGATTTTTATACAGTTTTCTAACTTTCAGGTAAACCCTGTATTCACAAGTGAAAGTACTGAACATGAAAATTAAAATACTATCAGGTATAGGGTAAAGGAAAAAAATTCTGTCATAAAAATAAAACATTTTCAAACTTAAAATGATGGAAAAGAAGTTTCTACAGCTGCAACAGTTGATACTTTTTCTACAGTAATAACTGGATATAGATAAATTCAACAGACTACTAAATATTTTTTGAGAGAAAGCTTATAAACTATAATAAATGCTTCATAAATTTAGCACTGTACACATTCTAATTTGATTTCCAAAAAAATCTTTCAATGAAAAGCTCTTTGTCTTCCATGTAAAAAAAGCAAAAAAAACCCACTTAGGAAAAAATGTTCCTCAGTAAAACAAGATCTGCAAGAAGCTGTTCTGTATGATTTAATATATATTCCATATTCAAATATATATTACATTGGTCTTAAAACATCTGACCTTTTGGTGCTCTGTTCTTAGCTCGATACTAGCATTTTCTCATTGGCAGACCCTGTTACAGGTTAACTACTGAATTTCTACTAAAAAAATGCACTGGCACTATGACTTCACAGCTTATTTCAAATATAGTCTTAGAACAGAAAAAAACACAACGGTATTAAGAAACCTCACAACTACTGCCTTCATGCTATCTCAGAAAGGGTTAGTTCTGCCAGACTTAAAAGATGAGCATCAATTTCTGTCTTTGCTCAGCAACAACCAGTGATTGAGGAGTGATTTTGCTACTCAGAGGAAAGTTTCTGTCCTTGAGGACCAGGATAAAGTAGAGTATTTATAATGGAGAGTGCACAAGGTGCTCTCTGCAGCAATGTTTAAGTTCAGAGAAACATTTCAGTCATTCCACTGGAAGGTATCGTTAACAGAAGAACTGGCAAGATAATAAAGATTCTGAAAAAATGACTCCTCAAACTCTTTGCTGCAGTCTTAACTAGTACTTAAATAAGCCTTAAATCTACTTTGTGGGAAAAATTCTTAAAGCAAAATGCCCACATCATCACATGAAAGGCTGATGAAATTCAAAATATGACCTTTAGACAAATCATGTCTTCCTCTAAGAGTCATCATAAACAGAAAACTTTGTACTTTAAAATAAAAAGCATTTAATGCATCTACATATCCTAGCACTGTTCCAAGAGATCAGGAAAGCAACTCATTTCAAAATTTGTGTGTGCACGCCTCATAAAGCACAACAAAGGATAAAAACCCAAATTCCTGCCTTCCTTTGGTAAATATGAGAAAGCTTACTAAGGGGCACGCTTTCTTTTCCTAGTCAACAATGGAAAACAGGGAGACACCCTAGATTTCTAGAAACATCCACATTCTGGTGGAATTTGAACTTTCCAAAATTACTTATTTTTTTGTAATTGCAATTATAGTAACACAAGTTTTAAAAGAATACCATCAGTGCAGAAGAGGGGCTGAAATGTCACACCCACTGCTAATACTTACACTGGGGTCACTACTGTCACAGAGAATCTCAGTTTTAAAAGCCAAGTATTAGCAAGCTGCAGATGAAGATGGGGACTTAACTGACAATTGTCCCTTTGCTCCACTTGCCTGCTGCAAGGTACAGAAAGGCATTTGTTCTTTGAGCCAACACCTTCACTAAGTGACCTAGATAAGCTCTGCTGTTGTATGAATAGACAGGTGTTTTTATGTGCGGAGTAATGGTTTTAAGTACCTTCCACCTACTTGCCTCTTCAAATTAAACCATGATACAAGTTATTAGAAGTTAATGACAACCTGGGGGCTGAAGTGACCTATAGCTTTAGCAGAAGTCGCCAACATGCAATGTCTATATGACAGTAACTTCACAGCTATACCAATATAGTACTCAGTGTGAAGTGATCTAAGAAAGCCTTCTCCTGTTTACTTGTGGAAGCAGTTGAGGTTAAAAAAAAAGGGGGGGCGGGAGGGGAGGCGTGCCAGAATAAAGAGGGAAGAATGGGAAATTACATTAGTTTAATAAATATTCAGACTCACCTTCATTTTTATTAGTGTAAACTTCCTTGTACAGAAGAATCCTAGTTAGATACGCATTCCCTGTCTTAATTAACTACACTTTATCATCCATTAATGTCTGAAAGTGAATTGAAGATAAAGACCACAAGTTGCGCTGATCCTATTTGGCATCTACATTACTGAGATTATTATTTTGCAGTTCCATTTGGGACTGTAAGGAAATACTTTTTCCTAGTAAGTTTCATTTCAGTAATGCTGTATTGATAGTATTATTGGGAAACCAAAGTCCTCGCTAAGACGGATGACAAAAGAATGCACTTCTTCCCAGGAATCAGCTGGGCTGTCACCCTGCTATGGAATGCCTCAAAGGGAATGGGATGCCTACAAAATGGAGAGTCTTGAAGTCACAGGGCAACTGACAAGCGAGAACAAAACTGGTGAAGTCTGATCATATGCAACTTCGGAGCACAGAGTGGCTTCAAATGTAGTTTAGGCCTTTGTTCCTTGTCTGTTGTGATCTTTTTGGAGAAGGGATGGGTAAGACATGCAAACATGCCTTACAAATGACAGAAGTATTTTCCATAGGAAAAAATACATTCTAATACAGGCTTAGATCAGTACATAACATAAGCACATGCTATCAAAAAAGTGAAGGTGGTTTTTTCTCCTCTACACAGTAAATTAGGCCTTCAGCTAAGATACTGGACACAGTCCACATTGTAAAATTCTTGATGCTGCACACTAAAAAAAAACATAATATGGAGTGGACCAAGCAGCAAACCTGCAAGACAGCAACAAAACAAAGAGACCTCTGGAAAACATAAGCTACAAAGAAAGCCTGAGTAAATTATGCTAATTTAGGCAAAAGGAGATGACTAATGGGGATAAATGTGTTCTCCATAGCAACAGTGGACAGAACAGGGAAGATCAAACACAGGAAGGGAGAATTAAATTATATACTTGGAAACATCTTCTAATGATAAAAGACAGCACACACTAGAACAGGCTTGGAGGGAGGTTATGAAGTGTCCATCCTTGGAGGTTCTCAGGAACAGGCAGAACAAACATCAACAGACTGATCTGATATATGTACTATTGATCGTATCCTCAGACAGAAGGATGGATGAGATGAAACTCTCCTAAACAGAAAAAATACCATAAAAGTTGGCACTTTAGGGTATTATTTTTCTATCAGAATTTACAGTTAAGTCATTGGTCTTTGAAAACCCTTAAAAGTCGTGTTCACAGAAAATGGAAACATTCATAACCTATATAAAGTAACAAACTCAAATGCCATGAAAGCTTTCCATGCGATTAAGCAGGTCTTCAGTTTGTAACTTCAAATAAGAAATATTCCTTGAAAATCAGTACTGCTCAGTTTGTATGTGCCATCAGCCTCTGGGGAAAGAAGCTGGAAAACACAGGCTTTTGAGCCAAAAAAATTTTGCTGTTAGATAGGGGTCAAGAGACATGGGGCATTTCACTAGTAACAGCATAGAAAGATCTGAAAAGTAGTGCCCAGTGCTAAAGGGCGGAGGAAGCTGCCATTCTATCTGCAAGCTGCTAAACTGGCAATGGTCACAAAACCAAGACAGAACAGAAAAGCTCCACTGGCAGCTGACAGAAGCCATTGCTAATTGATTGCTGCAGTTCACAAAAACATGAGAGCTTAAATTTTTATTGGTGAAAAAAAAAAAAAAAAAAAAAAAAAAGGCTCTCCCCAGGTTAAAAACAAAACAAAACAAAAACGTATGTGCAATAATACAATCATATCAAGGAATCAGAAAACTCCGATTTCTGATAAAAACAGAGAAAAGATGGATGAATTTACAGAACAGAGATACAGCCCGCATTGTTTTCTCATAAGATAAAGAGTATATAGATGTGAAACAGGTCAAAAAATTTCCAAGAATAAGGATATAAAAATTGCTACTAACCACAGAAAACCGAAACAGAAAGGTTTTTTCCTAGAGCTGCTAAAAAGCAAGAGGAAAACTAACCTACTTTACAAACTGCTGAGCTTGCAGTAATAGGTCTACCTAAATGTGATGTGATTATGTTCACAGAACCCCTAGGTCTTACAAGACCAAGAAAGTTCTGGAAGAGGAAATAAAATGTAGGGTAGTGCACCAAGCAGAAGCAGGTTAGTTTGCTATGGTAATAAGTGCCTCCACTGAGGAAGCACACCCACTCTAATGAAAAATGAGCCAAAACATGGAGATACGATCGTGGGAAAGAAGAGTCACAAGGCTTGATTCAACAGCCAGCCATAAGGCATGGAATTCTGTGATCAATCTTTTTTTTTTTTTTTTTAGCCTGAAATTAAGATTTTGTCTTTCATTTCCTTTATTATGCCCTTTTCCTTCCTTCTTGAGTAATCCCCAAATCAAAGACTACTAGAGCTAAAGAAGGAAAAGAGCAAGAGGACTCAGTTAAAGTCTCAGTCTGTCTAGAAGAAAATCTGTCATGTTAGTATAAAAGCACAACTCCTATATGTTTTGAAATACTGTAACATTGCTGCTTCCTTTATTTATTGCCATAAGAAGGAAAAAGAAAAACAGTATTAATATTTAAATTCTCACTGCCCAACTTCACCTTGTGTTTGAAACATAACAGCAGTTCCAGAACTCAGTCCTGCAAATGGCGAGAATTAGTAACTATCCTAAAATTTTGGAGTACTTGATCTTAGATTTCATATAAATCTTAAAAGTCCGTCAGATTTATAAGAGTAACTAGTCACATATGCTACAGTGGATTTAGTTGCTCGTCTGAAGATTAATGACCCAGCAATGAATCCAGAAAGCTATGGATTATGATGAAATGGAATTCATTTGATTGAAAGTTGACTTCTTATTTTGTGTTTCAGTTATGTCGTTCAATCACAGCAGTAAGATTACTAGATTAACAGGTAAAATTATTGAGATTTGCTAACTAAATCTGAAGCCCTGTAAAAAATACAGAAAAGTTCTGAAATTCATATTCCCTTAGTATGGTAAAAATATATTACAGGCATCAAAGCACCTAAATCTTTGGAATTTCCTCAGTCTCACAGTAATTATTAGGCTCTCATCATACCGGACAAGGCAAAAGAAAACATGTTTTGCCACTTGTACATTTGGTTCATCCAGCATTTCTCCAGTCAAAACACAGCACATAAATGAGGGCAAAATTAACCCCACAAAGATGGTGTAGAGCATTCTTGGTGTACAAAGGATAGTTTTAACTTCAGCTAATTTACTTTACACTATTTTTTTAAATAGACTAACAGGATATTAAATCTCAAGTATAGAATAAAAACTATATTAAACTATATAAAATTATGTATATTAAAGCAAATGGATATTATACTACTTAAACTCACAATTATAATAACACTGATTGTGAATTCTACTTCTTAGTATATAAGTTGATTTTAAAAACAGTAAAATTCTTTCTGAGTTAATAAAAAGTCAAAGCTCATTTTACAACAACAGAGATACTTAAACCAGAAAACTGCAATATACTAGAACCAAATTGCCTCCTCCTTTTTTTCTGTGGAAGTTTCTATTAAATAATTCAATGCTTTTAAAATTGAAGCTAACAAAGATTTTACTTCAACATTTGACTTCTAGATTTACAACAGTTTCTCATTATAGATGTTGCAAAAGCCAGAGTGCCAGGTATGTGTCATCAAGTTTGAATGGGCACTGTGTTTTTTCTTAAGAAAAAAAAAAAAATACTTACACATCCACAAATAGTACATAATCTTTACTGTCTTCTGGAATTCTACAGGAATGTCTACAGAGAAGTCCTGGTAGAAACAAGGACCTACTGGAAAATTCTCAGGAAGAGGTGGCCAGTTATTTTTTCTACCTGCAAAACAAACAAACAAAAAAACACTTTATAATAGTTTTAATATAGTTTTTTAATATAGTTTTAATCTCTGTATACTAGAAGAGGATATGCATTTGAACTAATTCAAATTCTTTTATGCATGAGTTTCACAAGCATATGGATAACCTGGGCTACCAAAACCCAGGAGTTTTATCAGCAATCCTCACACAATACTGAAAATAAACTTCATAAATAAAATACAATGAAGTGCAGAGAGATCAAGAAAAGTACAATATTTTATTTATGTAAAAGACTAAGCAGGCATCTGACAGTCCCTTTAAAGTAACGAGAAAAAAGAATTCTTTACAAAACAAGCAGATATAGGCAGAAAAACAATTTCTCAGAGTTCCTTGACTTTTAAATGCACATTTTCCTAAGGTCCCACCATACTCATATACTTTGCTGAGCACAAAGACTGGAGTCTGAAAAGCATTCTTAATTCTCAGAGTCCTGATATTTTTAACACCAGGCTATCTCTAACACTTTGAACTAGTTCCCAATACAGTTTACAGTCAAAGCTTTACCTAAAAGCCCTCAAGCCTCAAGAAAAGCAGCTATTGAAATGCTCTAAAGTACTTTTTTGTTACAAAAAGATGCCCTACAGCATCATTGTATTTTGATACAGTCAGGTGACAGAGTGAGGACACCACAAAGGATGCAGTATCAGACATGGATTTCCTGTATCCTGATCTGCTCACGGCCAAACACAAGTCATACCAAGCAGATACTTAGAGATTCAACTGAGATAGTAACTGCAACAAACGTTTACCATAGCATTTCAAATTAATCACCATGTACATTAATCACCATGTTTCAGAAGTGGACCTGAACTAGAGACTAACCTAAAGGTACCTTTATTTGAAATTCTGACAAAGTTTTGCTTGCAATTTCTATCTTCAACCATATCTGCTGAGAGCAGATAACTTGCAAAGCTTACACCTTATTTGTTTCCCTCACTCAGACAAGATGAAGCTTGTCAGTTCTGTCCAGACTATTCTACTGAAAGTTTTACACCACTTTCCAGAGCAGGGGATTGGCAGAGGGAGCATGCAGAAGGTAATGAAGTAATATTCCCATCCATATAGAAAACTACTCTGGGATTTCTTATGTGAAAAATATCTGATAATAATTCAGATCTTAATTCTGCAATATATGGTTATTTTTTCATGACTGATAGTTTCAAGACAGAGCTATGGAAAAATTCAGGTCTCCCATATTAATTCAAGTTATTATTTAAGAATTGTATTTCATGCAGTTTCCCGCTGCTGTGCTACAAGTTTCAAAATTTTCAACTGAGACTGAAAGACAGCTTGGCAAGATGGTTTGAGAGCAAAAACCAAGTGGTTATTTTCTAAATACACTTTTGATATTAATTTTCCAAGACTGTAACATGATAAGCACAGAGCTAGCTCAGAGTTATTTCATTCAACACAAGTTACCACCTCAAGGCCTATTAACATAACTTCAGTGGCATGCCTACACTGTGAATGCAGACACCTCCAAACTAGCCTCATGCAAGCACAGAAAGGGATTTCCAGGCATGCCCAAATGAAATAGCTGAAATTGGAAGCAGCACACTTAAGTAGTTCAAATGCAATGCTGCACAGGAACTGAGCAAAGAAGACCAAAGGCAGCCGACTGAGCTGACCCATGAGCTTAAAGATCTTTGCACTGTAGTCAGCTGCGTATGATGACAGTGTCCTAGACATGTAGTCAGCATCTTAAATCAAATGCAAATAGCTAGAGTATTGCAAAAGACCCTGTCCTCCAATCAAGGCAACTCCACAGTGTTTCCAGAGGAGAGTGCACAAAAAAAAAAAAAACAAAAAAAAAAACAAAAAAACAAAACCAAGAGGAAAATAATCTATTTCTCTTCAGTCAAATATATAATTTCTGCTTTGCTGCATCTTTTACACAGTCATTTGGTAAAAAACTATTTTCTTTAAAGCTTTAAGCGCTCTCTCTTTCTGTTCTGCCTTCCTAAAGAATCCTTTAGATTCCTCTTCGATTCTTCAAGAACTCTGGTGTAAACAACTGCAACCTAATAACAGATACCTATTTTAGAAATACCCTGAAACATGCACAGGGTTATCAGTTATTTTCCCTAAGATACAGATGAACAAAACTGTCCCTAAAGCCTGAAAAAGAAAAGTAATCAATCCAGACAATCCATATAAGATAGTGGGATTAGATGAAGGGCAATGCAAGAAGAAGGAAATGAAAAAAAAAAAAAAAAAAAGACAAAAAAATCATTATCTGGGAGAAAAGGTACAGGGAGTATTAACAGAAATCGAAAAAAACAAATACTGAGAAAATAAAAATAGTTTAATGAAGGTACAATATCACCTTTATTCTTTTCCTAAGAATAGCAATTTCCCATTCTCAGATCCTTACAAACGACTGGCATATGACTGTTCTCTACAGCTTCATCAGGAGAGGAAGTGTAGAAGGAGGTGCTGAGCTCTTCTCCTGAGTATCCAGCGACAGGACACATGGGAATAGTTCAAAGCTGCACCAGGTGACGCTTACACTGGACATAAGGAAGCATTTCTTTACCAAGAGGGTGGTAAAACACTGGAACAGGCTTCCTGGAGAGGTGGTCAATGCCTCAAGCCTGTCAGTGTTCAAGAGGCATTTGGACAATGCCCTTAATAACATGCTGTAACTTTTGGTCAGCTCTGAAGTCAGGCAGTTGGACTAGATTGTTATTGTAGGTCCCTTCCAACTGAAAATATTTTATTCTATTCTATAAAATTCCCTGAGAATTTGAATTACTAAGCAATTCTGCAACGTGGAATTGTACCACTGCATATTAAAAAAATAAACCAAACAGCACATGTGTAAATAAGTCAGAATTCTAGATACAAGTAAAAAGACCACACAAACTCAATCTTGCACACAGTGTTATGTTTTGTTTTGGTTATTTTTCCTAACTTCAGTCTAAGTCTTTCCTTTTGAAAAGGAATATTCCTGTTGATCCACATCTATCTTCAGTTAAGAGGACGTAAATCTCCTTATCTGTGAAAATACCATACAAAAACTGATGGTTTTGCACAGCACGCTTACAGTTTGTGCCAAAATAAGATACTGCTCTTGAATAGGGGTTCCAAAGTACCATAAGAAAAATTAATAAAGGATTAATAATAGATCTTCCTGCTATTTGCATAGATTATATCTGTAACATAGCAAAAGATAAAAAAATGTTCTCCTACAGCTATACTGACAGACGAGAAACCAAGAGATATTACTTATGAAGTTACTTTTACTTATTCTCAAAATGCTCCATTTCTATTAAACAGTATTACTTAGATATTAACCTAGAAGAAGAATAGCTGATAGTAGAGAACAACATGTAACGAGGAAACACTTAAAATTTTTACAGTGAAAATCTGCACAGAACACGACAGGTTATTCACTGTATGCACGTCTCAAGGGTGATAAACTCTCTTCCAAAAGAGATTATAAAACCCCCTCATTGATCTGTTTCACAATGTCACTGTAAAACTAAAACAGTTTCTAAGAAAAAGTGAAATTTCTGCAACTTTAAAAAGTATTTTTTTCATGCATACCCCCCTGCTGATTGAGACTCTGCATTTCCCTTTCTCTGCGATCTAGTTCAGCTGCTTTTCTTTCCAGTTCTTCTTGACGCTTTAGCAGTTCTGCCTGGGCCAAGGCATGCTCCTGAACAAAACAGGCATCATTAGATATTGATAAAAAATACAACACAAAATAAATATTCCAAGTCTGTTTTCTATAATTAAGCATCTCCAGTTATGCATGAAGACTGACATAATACTGCATGAATTAATGCATTAAGCAATTACTTAAAGGCAGTATTTTCATAAATCATTAGGAAAGCAATGCTTATTTACAAAAGACATTATTCCAGAAGTGGATTTAAATAGTTATAATTAAAAGGAACCTAGTGCCTGAAAGTTACAGACAGACCTTTGCAATTTGTGTGTAAGCAAGTGGTTCTTCTGTTGGTTTCATTATTGCTGGCTGCGTACTGGGTACATCAGGCATTTTCACATTTCCTGGAGGAGGCTAAGAAAAAGAGAGACAATTATAGGGAAAGTTTCTCATCCTAATCAATATATTTTTAGTAACTGTAAGAACTAATCTAGTTGTTTTAAAGGAAGTGTTACTCATAAACTGAAAATCTGATATGCCTGCAATATATATATCCTTCAGGAAAAATAAGTTAACTATATTCTGTGGTACAATGTCCCGCCTGTTTGGTTTTACACTGCACTGCTTGCCATAAATACACATGGAATTTCAAGGATCAGTAGAAAGTAAACAGAAGTTTAATTTTGTTCAGATATGAATAAGGTCAATTACTGTTAAGAGAATTGCAGGATTTAACAGTGGTCGATTCATATTCTGAAACATGCTGCCTTTTATTAGTAATGACTCCCAAAGCTTTCTACTTAACAAGGGCTTTTATCAACTGTTTAACTAGAGAAGCAATGTACCATATTAAATTTTCCCATTCAAGATCCATAACCTATTGCTTATCTATTCCACCAGTAAGTACTATAGTATCTAGTTTGAAGTACCACTGACGATTCATTCACTTGGTCACTACCTATAATAATACAGCATAAAAGAAACTTCTAGTAATTCAGGGGTTTTTTTCTTGGGTTTTTTTTTAAATCCTCTCTTCCTTATTCCCATTCGTCATCTTCTCTAAGTTTCTCCACATCTCTCTATCATATACAATGTTAACCAGCAGATATCAAACCAAGGAAAAAACTACTGCCTAGATGCAAGTTATCAACTGAACTTTACCAAAGCAGCTCAGTATAGCACTACTATGATGCTATTTTATTCTTAAATATGCTTGGGGGAAAACTACAGTTCTTTCTTTGGGTAGGGCTTGGACAAGACAAGAGAACTATTGTTCCTTCAAAAACTGAAATCAAGAACAAAAATATGGTGAGAAGTGTGATGTTTTCAGTACAAAAGCACCTTAAAAGAAGCAGAAATCAACTAACAACTGCTAACTTGGCAAATTATGACTTGGCCCAGATTATCTCCATGTTTTATAACCATTTTTTGAAATACTCAAAAGCAATACACTGAGGAGAAATATTATGCCTGAGAAAACTCCACCTCTGTGTGTGATACTGCAGCACATCTCAGCAATATCTGCTGATTCTACCATTTCAAAATTATCTTTCCATCTTATACACCAGCTCCTAACAGAATACTGAGATATCAGAGAGGTCTCATTTCTCAGAAATGCTTGGTAATTTCAACTTTTCATCCTAAGAAAGATGACTCAGTGCTGTCAGATGAAGACAACTGGAGGCTGAGTGCCAAGTCTGGCACTTGGGTCACAACAACCTCATGCAATGCTAAAGGCTTGGGGAAGACTGGCTGGAAGACTGCCTGGTGGTAAGGGCCATGGAGGTGCTTGGTTGCCAGCCGGCTGAATATAAGCCAGCAGTGTGGCCAAGTGGCCAGGAAGGCCAACAACATCCTGGTTTGTATCAGGAATAGTGTGGCCAGCAGGACCAGGGAAGTGATCCTTCCCCTGTACTCAGCTTTGGTGAGGCCACACCTTGAATACTGTGTCCAGTTTTGGGCCCCTCACTACAAGAAGGACATTGAGGCACTGGAGTGTGTCCAGAGAAGGGCAAAGCTGGTGGAGGGGCTGGAGAACAAGTCTTATGGGGAGCAGCTGAGGGAACTGCGGTTGGTTAGCCTGGAGAAAAGGAGGCTCAGGGGACACCTTCTCACTCTCTGCAACTACCTGAGAGGAGGGTGTAGAGAGTTGGGTGTCAGTCTCTTCGACTAAGTAAGGAGACGAGGAAATGGCCTCAAGTTGTGGCAGGGGAGGTATAGAATGGATATTAGAAAAAACTTATTCAGCAAAAGTATTATCAGGCACTGGAACAGGCTGCCCAGGGGAGTCACCATCCCTGGTATAGACATAGTGCTTAGGGACATGCTTTAATGGTGGACTTGGCTGTGTTAGTTAAACGGTTGGACTGGATGACCTTTAAGTCTCTTACAAACTAATTGATTCTCTGATGCTTGTTACAGATGGTTAATACTGCTGTTCCTTACGTTGGAGCGTTCTGTGATAAGGAAAAAGGCTTGTATGAGAACTCATACAAAAACTAGACAGCCATCAATAGTCACCATCTTCTGCTTCAAACATAAGATACAAAACCTGCACTAGAGTAACAAAAAGCTACTGAACAAAAACTCATATGCATTATATACTGTAGGCCAGAGCAATACTACAAAAGAAAAAAAAAAAAAGGTCTGATTATTGTAGCTCTGTGGTTAAGTAACAACAGCTTTGAAAGCACAACTGATAAGCAGCTGCCTGCTAGACTAATGAGCAAGACTGTTCCAAGTCTCCAGCAAGGACTCCAGTAGCCCTCCTGTACTACTGTGAAGAGTAACAGTAATAGCAATATTACCTGTAATAGTGTAAAAAGGTGGATTGTCAGACTAGAAAATATTTGAACAATGAATTCAAAATACTTAGCCTTGAAAGGCACTTTGTCCAAACAGCCTGAGGTGCTGCTAATGACTGGAACTTGCATATATGCTTATAAATAAAGGAACCAATCAGAAAGCTCACTAGAGCTACAAAATCGAAGATGTCAGCCAACAGCATTTATGACATTAAAAGGTACTAATTATGCCTGAGATTCTTCTGATTCAGATTTCTACACTGTTCAGATTCCACTATATGCTAGCTGGCCATCTATACGGTGTTAGACTTGCCATCTACTGTGCATATAGTGACAACTGTGTAAAAGACCCGGTGCCTGAGTAAGAACCCGTGCTCCCTGGAAGAAATGAGACTACACCAAGGATTTGTAGGAGGGGCTGTGCATCCTGGAATCCTAAGAAAGTCAAGAGGGGCTGGGGGACAAAAACTGTTAAGGGATGTTACAAAGGCTACTGCTTCCCCCAAGCTCTGAGACCTGGGAACTCCTCCTTTCCAACTGCTGGAGCCCCGTGCATCTCACCCTGAGTGCCTCTGAGGGCTCTCCACTCCAGGCTGATGGAGACAGCTCTTGTTTTGTTTCCACATTCAGCTAGTAGTAGGCCAAACACGCATCGCAGGGAGGCACAGAAATACAGACACACCCGCGCACACCAAGGACACCAGGATGGCCAGCTACACAGGCTGCCACAGGGAAGGCACTGCATTTAACAACACCCCCACATTAACACTACCAGAACTACACAGAACATATGTAGACAGTCATGTCCCATTCCTCCTCTCCAGCTGATCCACACTGAAGTAAGTTCACTACTGAAAGCACATGCCTCACTCCAGATTTACAAGCACACAACAGCTGCAGATCCCCTGGATATGAGCAGAAGGCCCTCGGCCTGTCTGATATACCTGCTTGGATCTGGAGCTCTCTTACCTGGTATACAGGTTTCCTCCTGTTTGCCAGTTAGCCCAGCTTGATGTTCACTAGAAAATTCATGCACTCGTACACTGATGTCACAAGCAACCTCCACACTCGCAGCTACCTCAAACACCAGCATGGGCTCTCAGCTTGCCATATATCCAAGCCCAGATCCCAGAGTCCCTTACACACTTTTGGCTCAGACTTCTGAGTCTTCCCAGAGAGAGGTTTTCCTCCTATTTGCCAGCTAGTCCAGCTTGAAGTCTGCTAGTGAATGACATATATACACACAAAGGAAAACACGCTGGTCCCTTCAGTTGCTAGCACTGCAGACACATGGGCCTTATGATCCATGGTCCCTCCAGCTGCTGACATCTAAATGCTCAGTTATTGACATCAGACATACAGACCTCTTCTACTTGGGGTCTGACCATGTTGCTGGCACCTAAGTTTCTCACTCGAGTCACTCCAGTTGCTGGCAGCTAGACTTTGCAGCACTCACAGATGTGGTAGAATGAAATGTCACAGAAAGAGAGTTAAAAAAGGATTTAACAATAACTGCAGTGATTAGGCACATGGCTGTCAGAGAGGTGTACTGATTGGTAGCAATTTACATGTAACCAGCCCCATTAAATCCATTCGTTTCTCTAGTCTCCTCCTTGCCCCTCCCAGATCTCCAACTGCTCTATATCTTTGACTATCTCCCTAAATATTGCATAGTCCCACAGGCTCCCCTCAACCATCCATAATATCATGCTTATCTTGTTTCTTCCTTCTTCTAGTTAAAAAGTCCAGATTCACCCTCTTCAAAGCCCATAAATTATACTGAAGAGCTCTGGCCCTCCGTTTTGTCTGTTGTCACTTATCTATCAAGTTTGTGTTTCTGCCTTTGTTTATTGGATAAAGTGGCCAGGTACACATAAATTGCTACCAATCAGTACACCTCTCTGACAGCCATGTCTATAACCTTAATGAAACAGGTGATCTCACATTCTACAGGGATGGTGTGTGATTAAGAATCATATATACCTTTGGATACTCTCTAATAATATGACTGGGATTACGATCTTCCTTCAGGTGTCAGCCCCTCAAAAACCATACAGCTGTATCGCTGTGGTAACAGGAAGGAGGACACTCCAGGCTTACTATTTCAAGCACTGCAGTACAAGGAAACAGCTGCCCTGAGTCTCATGTTGTTAGATCTGGGTGCTACAGTCCATTACTTAATGCAGGAATCACGCAGCAGCCAAGGCGACTTCCATGTCTGCTCGGAGGTTAAAGCCCCTGTCTATGTAGAGGTCTGCTAAAAAACAACAAAATAAATCCTAAGCAAACAAAAAACTCAACCAACCAACAAAAAAACATTTATGATTTGTAGACTTTTCCATGACCCCCGCTCCTACTTACCCAATAACGAACTTGTACCTTTTGGCCTCTTAATTTCTTGAATCCTTTAAAGAGCTTTTTCTATAGTGAGTGTGACAGCTCTCACTTTTCCTTCCTCTGGCATGAAGCAAGCTGAGGTACATTCCAGTTCATGCTTTAGCAATTTTCCATCTTAGTTTTCTTAACACTCAGCTGATTACCTATTTCTAAAGCCTATTCTACTAGAATTCAAATTTAAGACACATCCCCCGTAAAGATTTTTTTTCCCTA